ATGCGTTTGGGCGATCAATTTTTCTTTCTTTCTTTTTTTTTAAATATTTTTTTTACCACCCTTAAATCCACGTCTGCTATTTAAAATCACAATATTAAGATTGATCTAAATTTGATTTAAATGTATTAAATATTAATGTACATTGTAGTCGATCTATAGCAAACATTTTAAGGGCCTGTTATTGACAAATCCGTGGCATTTTTTTTACCACCCTTAAATCCACGTCTGCTATTTAAAATCACAATATTAAGATTGATCTAAATTTGATTTAAATGTATTAAATATTAATGTACATTGTAGTCGATCTATAGCAAACATTTTAAGGGCCTGTTATTGACAAATCCGTGGCTATCTTTAATTAGAATGAAATAAGTTACATAGTTAGGTAACACAAACTGACGTTAAAACAAACCTATGAAATACTTTTTATAACTTTCTAAATTCGCCTCTGAATGTCATTGTCGCAGTACTTAAAGCAATAAATCAATGTTGCTATCAGAATTATCTTCTTCATTCTCATATGCAACCTAACTCCAGTAACTTCGAAGAAGTCTCTCTGCAAAACTTGCTTGAAATTAGAGGTGCCATCGGACCCGATTGCATCGAGCATTTGTATATGGCGCTCTACATAAAGAACACTGCGGCACCTAGGGCTATACAACTCATGAGGGCAATAATAAATTAATTAAAGTACAGTATTTAATTTATATTCAAAAGAAATTCAAAAGAGATAGAACCTCCACTAATAAGATGGAACATATACAAAGACACAATATATGGTACAAACTTACAATGAATTTCTTCATAAAGCTTAAACGAGGATAAACTTCATAAACAATATATTTCATCCGAACAATTTAAATCTGTCTCTTATACACATCTAGATTAGATTAAGTGTTTAGTGCAAGTACAAACAAAGGTAAAAGATTAGAATCAAATATAGAATTTAAGCTAACAAAAACAAAATATCCAAAACAAGTCTACGTTATATTAGGCCTATCTATATTGAAAAAAAATGTAAACTTTTCAAAAATTCGGCCAAATTCGGCCAAATATAGTTTGGCCGTGACTTTTCAAATGCTACGGCCAGACAAATTTTTATACGGCCAGATTTGAGGAATCTGGCCGTCAAAAAGGCCAAATGGCAACCCTGGTAGCGTCTCGTATCTATTGTCGTGACGTCATGGCTCGTTGGCTCACACTTGCGATGTCTCGCACTTGTGATCAAATAACACGCTGGCTCGCACTTTGGCAACACTCTTTGGCAGTCAACTCGCCCCTAGAAAACCTGCCCTTGGAAACATAAAAAAATGTACACTTCCTAGACCATGCAGTCTTCAAAATAAAAATTGTAACCTTTGGTAATCAACTACATTTTCCACATACATAGAAATTTTTGAAACTTTATTAAAAAAAACCTAAACCATAATTCACCACTATATACACTTTTTGACAAAAATGAAAAATTACGACTTTGTTACCCAATGAGAAGTGTTCTAATATAGACATTGGGTCGTGTCTCATATTATTTGTTATATTTTTATTATTCATTATTTTCACTTGACTCGCATAAATAATTTTGTTCGAAGAACATTTATATGCAGTTGTACTTCACTTGCAATTTGCAATTTCTAGTTTATATTATTAACGTATTCATACATATATTCGTTCATTCATTTGTTTATTTATAGATACATTTATCTTCATCCAGAATAACAAAAACAGATACATTCTCACAATCATTCATTTATTTATTAATTCATACATTCACTCGTTAACACATACATATTCATTCAAATACATAGACCTACATTCATTAATCCATGTTTTCATTCATCCACTTATTCATTCACTTATGCATTCCTTCATCAAATCATTCATTCTTCCATTCATTTCTTTTATTACTTTTTTTTTCATTTCATTGGTTCATTAATTGGTTTACTCATTCATTCACTCACTATGGTACCTCACTCACATATGTCATGTTGTCGTGTTTCCAGAGGCTGGTCAACAAAAGGTTGTCGTGTTGTATCCGGTAGTGATGTATTTGCAGCAGAAACACGGTGCTCTTGTTCGCACACAACCAATTTTGCTGTCCTTATGCAGGTGTCTGATGTACCGGTGAGCCATTTCATTCGAAATATTTCGATTTTCTGATAGATTTTTGTCATCGCACCTATGCTTCATGCTGGTGCGTACACAGCACGCTAGCGTGCGCATTTAGATATGGGATTTCATAACATGTAATCGTGCAATGGATCTCAGAATATTTACACAAACTACATGAATTAACCACATAACAAAGACTTCTAAAAACTGTCAAAATCCTTGCATGTATAGGCCTATTATATTTATCGTAGAACAAAATATTTAAAAGCTGCATACATCTTACCAGAGTGTTGATATAGGATCTATACTGTGCCCGTACAGTGTAAGCAAATCAAATATTGTACGCCTATTTACTTTTGAATGTAAAAAACTATTATTGTATCAATCTGTTGGATTTCTTTTTTTTTTAATCAATAAAAGATTAATGATAGACATAGGACGGCTTTAGAATGGATTACAAGAATTGGTTGCAGTATATCGCTTGCTGGCCTTTTCATCTCTCTCGGCGTGTATATCTACCTCGAGTAAGTTAAAAACTGTCAAAGACCTACTGGATGAGGAGGAGGATGAGTAGGAGGAATATGATTGGGTGATGATGAGGAAGAGGGGAGATGTCCGGAGGTGGCGCAAGTGGAGGAGGAAGATAAGGATGGTGATGATGATGACGATGAGAAGGTATGAGGATGATGATGATGATAAAGATTCCTAGCCGAACAAAACTAGTAATTTAAAGATTTGTTGTGTTTGACTTTTCAGAGATCTTCGGAAACTGGAGCGTAACTTAATCCACATTAACTTGATGGTCAGTCTGATCATTGTGCAGTTTCTATTCTTGCTTGGAATAGATCGCACGGAAAATAAGGTAAGTATTGCATACAAACCATCAAATCGTTACCGGAGATTGCAGGAGCAGGGGGGATATATATATCCAAACACAGAATTCAGAGTTGCCCATTTTAAGCCGGACACAAAAATGCGCTGATGGTCTTCGCAGACACAATTCCATTGAGAAACGAAGCAAGTCTTTTTTATGACGATCCGCTCTGCAAGACTGCCAACGACAAACCAGCAGACGTTGTCGCATCGTCTAAGCTCCTTCGTAGGTCGATGCATGTGTATGTCCGAATTCCGACCGGATCAGTCGAGTTAAAGATGGAAGATTCCCTGGATAGGTATTATATTATAAGTATAGACTACACACACACACACACACCCACACACACACACACAACGGGCAGATCTTAACGTCATCTATTTCCTTTCTTTGATCAGGACGCCTGTACCGCTATTGCTATTTGCCTTCACTTTTTTCTCATGGCCGTCTTTTCTTGGATGCTTGTTGAGGGTATCTACCTGCACTTTAAACTTCTTCGTCGGACAGCCGTCAACAAGAGTAAACTGCCGTATTATCTCCTGATTGGCTATGGCGTGCCTGTCGTTACAGTAGCGTTCACGGCTGGTTTTGGGTTCAGTGGCTACGGAACTGACAAAAGGTAAGGTTCGAATCAACAGTTACATTCCACTTATCAAACTTAGGCGTAACAAATGACCAATCAGAACAGGACTAGGTATACGCGCTTGTCTCACAAACGCATGTATTTACGTACGTTTTCGTTTACGTTTTCGTTTTGTGACACCTTATAGGAACAATATCAAAGGGACGGGACTGAGCGAAACGGTCCATTAATTCAAGACGCTATGCATCTAAAACCAATTTTACACTAGGCGAGTTCATTCGCGATCGCTTCCTGAGCTCTAATTGGTTGTGCATTTTTTTCGCTTCGCAAAAAATAGAACTTAAGTTCGAACTACTGACTTCGATGAAGCGAAAAACTCCGATAGAGATGTGAATGCGCATGCGCTTGAACCGACGCTTTCAATTCGCGCGAAAACCGGATTAAAACGTAAACTGAAGACTACATAATCTATTTCAAGACCTAGTCAAGAAACCACAAACAGTATTTAAACGAGATTGAAAATGCCACACAAATTTACTTATCGGCTGAAAATTAAAAAAAATCCTATGAAACTGATATTCTTAGCACCAGGCAAAGATTTTCAAGGACCCGTTAAATCCATATTTACTGGCTGACATCTCCAAGTACAATGCGACAGAGAGACTAGTACTAAATTGACAAACCTTAGACTGCCAAAATCAAACATTCGATTTGAAACAATCAAGAGCCAACATTCTACTAAAAATAAGTCCGAAATAATAATTATATGCTATGCCAAAACGTGGAATCTTTAATTGAATTATCATTCAACCTCCTATCACAAGCCAAGTTGAGCCCTGCTCATTCCAAGTATTGTGTTTAATTTCTTTCAGCTGCTGGTTATCTACAGCTAATGGACATATCTGGGCATTCGTTGGACCGGCGTTGGCCATCATTTTGGTTAGATATACTGTTTCATGTTGTAGCTAACACTATGTTGGTGTATGCACGTACGAACTAAATTACCGGAAATCATGCATATCCGCCTCTTTACAACAGTAATTTAAAATCAGACTTTAAAATAGGCCTATGATGATGACGACGACAATGATGATGATGATAATAAATCATAATGATAAAATTAAATGATGAAATGAATAATTAATAAATACTGTACTCATGATGACGATAATAGCGATGAAGATGATGACGACGCGGACGGTAATGTTGATAACGTTGAAATATAGGCTTACTTATAGCATACCGGTACCTTCATAATTATCCCTGTATAATCATTTAATTTATCTGATTTTTCTTTAAGGTGAACATAATAACATTATTTTTTGTCGTGAAGTTGATATTTCAACGCTCATCTCGAAGAAAAAGTGAAAGCCAACATGCAGTGTGAGTAATAACCATTTTGATTGGATAAGTAGATTCTAATAGCGCCCTCAATCGTAACAGCTAGTTAGTAAACTTTGTAATCACCCTACACGTAAATAATCACTATTTGTAAATCATTCACATTCTTAATAGGCTCCTTCAATGTGAAA